ACAACTGGTCCTTATGGACTGTGGTCACTAATAAACAAAGGTGCCATGCTCACCCTTCCCGCATGTATAGTCGTCAAGTAACCTTCACAAGCAAAGAAATGGGTCGAGAAACCGAGAACAAGGACTGAACAAAGTCGACCCTCACCACAAATCTATCCGACCTCAGCCGAAAATGGCTAATAGCGTTTGTAGGAAGAGAGTAGCTTGCATTGTACAATATCACTACACCAGCCATAATGGCAAACTATGTGCACATGAATGACCATGGTTTGGCGGCCCTAGGCCTTGACTTTCAAAACAATCCAGTTACCATACTCCACCCGTTTCCTCTCGAGACCTGCTGGGAACGGACGCCAGAGGTTAAAGTCCCATTTCTTGATTATAGCTTCTACCAGAGCCTTCTCTCCGTCTTCCTATCATTACAGGTCAAATGAGTCTCAAGACGAGCTAGATACACGAACCCGTGAATGAGTTAGGATCGTGGTGTCATCGTCTTCCTGGAGCTTGCGTCTATAGAGTAGAACCAATTCTCCCACTCGAGTCCTGTCCTCCTTTGGCACACGATCCATGATAGACTCCACCACTTGCATCCAGCTCTCCTTCTGTCCCAACCGTCCAAGGAGCGATGGCTTGACCTTGTATGGCGCGTCTATAAGCTAGGTCATCAGTCGGTCGGTGATTCGTACGAAAACACAAACCACTGTATTGATTGGTTTCTCCTTCTGAAATAGATAGTATCGGAGGACTGATTAGGAGATAAAACTGCGATATTGAGATTATTCACTCCGATCCGTTGGTCAAACTAGAGTGGACTTACAGATACTATTGCAAATATATCAAGCCGAGAAAGGGAAGAGAATTCCGGCCTCAGGTTTATATCTAAACTCAACCGTTTCTCTAGTTCCAATGCATGTCGCTTTGAAGGAATATAATGCGCCTAATTCAAATTCAGCGAACGATCCTAGCATTACTCGGTAATAAGGTCAAAATGAAGTGAATATTTACCAGTAAGGACTAGACAGACGCGATGCCGACTTGTTAGAAACCCAAAATAGCATCCAAATCCTGCTTACATTCTGCAAATGTCATTGTCAAAACAATCCCATCAAAATCATCGTGATCACCACCCAATG